GGCTGAACACCTGTCAGTGGTGTCCTCTACGAACCTGGGAGTGAAATATTCCCTCAGAGCCGAGATTCAGTCACGAAAATGGGTGGGATGAATTTTAATTGATGGATTTTCGACTTGAAGGAGTTGCACTCGATATTTTGGTCGAAAAATCAGTCGGCAGAGATTTCACAGCCGGAACAAAGTCGAACAAAAAGTCATCACCACCAACATACGATTCACGAATGGGCCTAGGTCTATCTGGGGGTCGTATTCAAACATCCGATATCTCTTAAACTCCTTTTATACTTGCGACGAAGCATTTCTCAATCGATCCTACACCTGCGACCTACCTCCATACCCGTCCGATCATCTACCTACACACGCTCTAATGAGGAAAGTCATGATGGAAACGGGACGTGAACAAAGGAGGAAGAAAAGGGAAGATACACCGAGGGGATTTCACAAATCCCCAATGACGAAAACAACCCAACGGTACGATATGAAGGTGTAAGGCTAGAGCAACGATGAGATCTTGGACGGCATTTATATTTCGGAGTCAATGAGGATGTCAAGGGCTCGGGCGCGTTGTGGCCGAGGCTGAGGAGGAAATCGCGCTACGGCGTGTATACAGCGGGTTTCTGGACGGTTAGGCTTGATATGATTCAACATATAGGTGAAGTCTGAGGTGGTCCGGTCATTAAAGTGGGACGAGGTTTATCTGTACTTCACGGTAGTTAACCTGATCCGGCCCAACCCCACACGTGCTTAAGCTCCAATAGGAGTGCAACGGTAGTCATGTAACCTAGCACGTTAATGAACAAAACAAAACAAACCTCCAAGAATAGGGCACGAAAAGGGATACGGATATACGGATAGAAAACTGTGTCATTGGCCTGGATAATAATCATGTATAAAGTAACAGTTATTATCCTCTTCAATCTGTAGTTCACCATAGATTGAAAATAGACTATTTCTGACCATAAGGTTGCCTCAGCGCCTATGCTTAGACTGTGACAACCTTCAAGCAAAACATAAAAATATAGGCAGCTAAAGCCCTAAAAGTAGATCACGCTCTTCGCTGCATTGGAAAAACTGCTCGAGAAATATTTCCCCGACTCTCTAGACAAGTGGTGATCACATGCGCTTTACCTATTGCCCATATCGCCGCTGCGACCTGGTGACCCGGAAAAACAAGAATGGAAAGAGGATATACAAACATCAAATGGGGTCGGCTCCCATATCAGCACACTTGATAAAGTTCATGTCGCTACTGCTAGGATTATCCTTCCCGTATTTTTAACCACTCCGACCGTCGCTCTCCTGAGGGAGGCAGAAATTGCACTAAACTATGTAACAAGGAGAGCAGCCCTTCTAATACGTAGCCTAAATCCCTAGAATCCTATATCCTCGTGCGCGCGAAATTTCATGCCATTTCTTCCATTGACTCGACTCGCTCGCGCATGCAGGGACATTCCCTACTCCGAGAATTCCGACCCTCTCCTCAACCCGTCGTGGGAAGCAGAACAAGAAACCCAAATTTATTTTAAGCGTATTGGTGCACCGTCAGGACCAAGCCAAACAGGAGCGAATATGTTCTCCGATTTCCTGACCACTATCTCTAAGAGCGATATTCTCGTCTACACTGATGATCAAGGCTCCCGGACGGAAACACTGGAGGTGGCTTCGTTATTTTCTAGTTAGATCGTAAAATTAGCTCGAATGCTTTCTCACTTGGAAGTAATAAAGAGCCGTATGATGTAGAAGTCCATGCTGCTCTCCGAGGAATTAAGGTAGCCGTCTCTCTCCCATCTACTCGTTTCGCCAGTAACCTATGGGTCTTTTTGGAAAGTATAGAAGTTTGCAGGAGGCTAGTAGTAAGTCCCATTGTTAGCTCATCATCACAATCCACTTTTATCGAGATACAAAAAGTGGACAAAACATGGCAAACTCGCCTCCGGCTTTCCCATACAGCTGAGGACCATGTCAAAATACGCTAGGCTTCAAGTCATTCTAGGATCTAAGGCAATAAATTTGCCGACTTAGAGGCTAAGAATGGTGGATTGGTTCCATACCTCGCCCCACCCAAACATTCTACCACATCAGTCAAGAAATGGAACATCTCATTAAAGATCCATGTAAGAGATATTTGGTGGAAAAAAATATTCCCGCATCTTACGCTTAACTTGAAATCAAGCTCCCCCTCATTTTCGAATGAGCTTCTTCTAACCGAGAAATCACTGGGCATCATTTTAGCAGCTAGAACCAGACACGGAGACTTTGCTGCTTATCACACTCATTTTAATCATGCTGAAGCCAGACTTATCTGCCTATGCGGGTTACTAAAGACCCCTACCAATTTTTTATTCTACCGTATCCTCCACCGTCGCCGTAGAGGACAACCTACTGGATCTATCAGCAAACTACTTCCGGATTTAATCGACACATCAGAAGGGGCGATTTCCATGTCTAAATGGCTGGAAAACTCTAGGCTTTTCGAAGAAATCTACCCATGGTGAGGGGCCGACTCACCTTTTCGTTAGTTTTGATTGGGGACTCTATGGACAGAGCAGAGGAGAGGGACTGTTTGATCGTTAGTCCTGAGGTAGCCGAGGTCTCATATCTTTTTTATTCTTTGGTTTAAGCTTATCCCTCATTCTCTGTGCGCAGTTTCACATGACGCGGCATAGCTCTGTATTCTAGACTTTTCGTTGTCCCATGGTGCCTAAAGCTCCGGCTCTAGCGTCCTTTGCCATTCGTAGGGATAAAATTGGGCGTGCCTAAAGGCCACACGCAGTGATAGATGTTAAATAACACCATTATCATCAATTGTCCTGATTTCGGGATCCGGACCAAACAGTATTTCTTCCAAATTTGATTTCAGTTTTTGATTTATGTTTTTGATTTTAGTTTTGCTGTTAACTTCTACAATTTCAGTAGAAGTTCATGCGGTTGGAATGAGTTGGGCCTGTACGCAGTGATCCTTGCCGGCTCCACCGGTCCTTGACCCAATGTGGAAAAGATAGCGTTAGCTTAGGACCAAATGTTAAAAAAAAAAAAATTGTCCTAATTTGGCGCCTTAAGGCCCATGCAGGTTTTATCGGAAGAAATATACTTCAAGTAGGATGACACAATTTGACGTTTTGAACACCAACACTCAATTTTCATTTGCGGATACCACTTGAGGTTAACCTTTACGACGTACAATCTTTCCTGTGCATACCTGCCACAGGGGAAAGCGTGAAAAACCTATGGCTATCCGAGTGTGCTAGCATTATTACATGAATACAATATAACCGCGACAAAGAGTGGTGCGTGGATTTTGCTGGATTCGAACCAGCTTTCTTCTGTCACTAATGGGGTAGGCGTTCAAGCTACCCAGAATCAAGTTGGGAGAACGGCCTGACTGGTGTACCACTGCACCATCCAGCCCCAAGAGGCGTATCATTAACGTGCCATTAACAGTATATGAAGCTACATCATGTAGCAGCTCAGTCTCCGAGAGAACGCTATGTGCTAGCATATTAATGATGACAATAGGAGAAGGATGCTGCGAAGTTTCCAGGACTTATGCGGGTAGCGATAACTTGAAGCAGGGGTTGACGAGGAAGTACCAGTATAGTTGGTCCTGGTCGGCACACTGCCATGTCTAGCACTAGGAAATTATTCAGCGTATTCACGAAGTGGATCAAGTTGAGGCTAAAGACTGAACGCCTGGCCCCAGTATCCACCACGAACCTAGGGGTGGAATATTCTCTCCAAGCCAGGTTCAGTCAAATTTTGCAATACAAAGTTGGTCCAAATAGCAATGATTCAAGACTCTGTACCATATCAGAATTTCGCTCATGAGTTAAATTCCAGCCAATCCTTCATCGAATTTACAAGACCAAGTCTTTTTTCTCAGCTGGACTCCATGTACACGCCCACGACAACATGAAAATCGGTAGGAAGAATCGAACGTGGGAGGTAGTCCCTTGGGGTAGACATTAGAGATTTCAGAATAGACAGAAAAGATGCTGCCAAGGATCGGTATAGACCCGCAGGGAGTGAGAATCAATATTCGAAAAGAATTTTTCATGTGAATGAGCAATGCACGTGCTACACTATCATATTCGAGACTGCAGAAGATAATACAAGAATAGTTTTGGTTTGACGGTGAAGCGGTGCATCAACTGGGTCAGTCTCCCAAGTAGAGCCCGGATAGCTTCAACACCCTTCCCCCTCGAGACAGGAGATGGCTAGTTTGAATCCAGAAAAATACTACCACATCCCTAGCTGTGTTGGTGTGTTTGGATGATGAATACATGCTTGGATAACCAAAGCTAATGAAACTTCACTTTGATGAGTACTCACGGAGGAGAATGACTACTAAGTTTGAACAAAAGTACCTCGCAGTAACATTTGCGAATGAAAACTAGAGCATTAGTGTCTAACGTGAAAATAGTCATTCAATTTGTAAATGTAGCACTAATCAGCTGTAGTATCACTACAGCTGCGTACACTTAAATGAGAAATAAAGGTAAACTCGGGTCCTATATTCTCCCACAACCGTGAGATACCGCCCGAAACAACATTAGAAGCCCGATTATATTGCATGATACATTCTCATCCGTCTCTAGAATCAGGACCAGACTTGTATTCATCTGGTGCGAGATACGGATACCGATTGTCAAAGTAGAAGACGGAGGCAAGCTAAGCGAAGCGAAACACGTGAGATAGCTCGCTGTCCGAATTGAAGTGATGAAGGTTCCGACGGTAGGGGAGACAAAGCGAGTACGTTGGCGAGCTGGCGAGTCTATATTTACTCAATATGGCCTGCAACAAGATGGAAATGATATGGAATATCATTACTACATGACCTACAAAGATACATGTAAGAAGGAAGATACGCTATTTTTAGTTACGTTTGGATGGCTTTATTATTGGACTTGTAGACATACAAGCTAATGTATGTGCTACTACTTTCATATCCTCCAAAGACCACGTGAACATTGACAAGTTTTTCATACCACATCACGTAGTAGCTATCCTCTCGGTACACCTCTACCTCTACCCCGTAATACCCTTCGTGCCGCACCCGGCGGTAGAGCCCTTCCCGGCGCAGTAGGTTGAGCGCTTTCTTCGTTTTTAATTGTCTCATCCACGCTGAGGATGAGACAGCTTGCCTCGATAGCGGCCTGAATTGCATTGACCTTGACTAGAGCCGGTTCCCATACAAATTTCTCAAAGTTATTCGCCACTCCTTCCTGTTCAAAGTCAACACCGGCCCAAATATTGCCCTTGCGGTGCTCCACACGAAGCTTATTTAAAATGTCAGTCGCATCAAGACCGGCGTTATCGCATAATTGGCGCGGGATTATCTCTAGGGCTTTTGCAAAAGACTTGATAATGGCCTGTTGTTTGTTGGAGATATTTTTATCAGCGTATTTATGCAGATAAGCAGAGACCTCCATCTCACAGGCCCCACCACCGGCGACTATCGTGTTATTTTTTATGGCACGTTTAACAATCATGATTGCATCGTGGAGTGATCGCTCAACTTCTGCAATAAACTGTTCGGCTCCGCCACGAAGCACGAGCGTGCATGTTTGAGCAGCAGGGCAGTCTTCAAAGAAATTGAACCTCTCACTACCAATTTGACGCTCTTCGAATGAGCCACAAGTGCCGAGATGTTCGGGATGTATATCAGAACAAGTAGACTGGATAGAGCCACCTGTTGCCTGTATTACACGCTCTAGATCATCTTGTGCAACTCGGCCGGCGCAAAATATGTTGCGATCAGCAAAGTATTGAGTCGCTAAGTCGCCGATTGGAAGTTTTGACAAAATAACCGTGGCTCCGGTCTTATATAAAGCTTCCATTTTGTTGTATATAATTTGCCATTCGGCATCAACTATAGCTTGATATTCCGAAACCTGTTCAATCCTTACTTCGGCATTATCTTTTTCGGATTTAAGCTCAAGCTCAACGTTTAAGCAGGCTATCTTCGGATCCTTGAATGATTTAGGTTGCTGTTCAAATCCGGCATATGAGAAGGTCTTTTTAAACGCTACCCCATTGACGAAAAGAGAGTCGGTTAAAGATCCACCTTGTACTTTTTTAATTCCAATAAGTTTTTCATTCAAATCATCCTGATCCAAAGAGAGAACGGCATCAACTACCACTTTCAGGGGTTAGCATTGTGAGCACGTTATTATCCCCTTACTTACTCTTTGTAAAAAAAGTTGTATTTCTCTTGATAAGCTTGCTACTCATCGCCGTGGCCGCAAGCTTGCCTAGAGTTTCTCTCTCACTACCCTCAGTTGCGTTGACAGAAATCTCCTTGACCTTATTGACTGCCATTGAACCCGCTTTTCTTAAACCTTTAATTATTATTTGGGAGCTGATTCCTTGGTCAACATGGTCTTTGACCTCTTTTAATATTTCTCCAGCCAGAACCACAACTGATGTGGTTCCATCACCGACTTCTGCATCCTGCGATCGTGCGATGTCGGTCAAGATCCGTGCAGCAGGATGAACGATGTCCAGCAACTTTAACAGGGTTATTTAAAGCTAAATAGAATAATGGTGGATTGCTTTACTTTCATGACTGTCGCTCCATCATTTGTGATGGTCTGTTTGCCGTTTCCGTCTACAAACAATAAATCCCCACCATATGGACCTAAAGTACTCCGAATTGTAGCTTGGACAGCTAGGCATGCGTTTATATTTGATATTATCTGCCCCTTCCCTTGTGATGAATCGGTGCCTTTGCAAGACATTAGCTCCGAAACTTTTAAAAAAATTGGCAAACATACCTTCCTTTAACACAATAATTGTGGGGGTCTGGCCTCCAAAAGACATAATTACAGCAGTAGTTAGTCACTGTATATGGGGGCTTGCTCGTTTTTGAGCGTAGTTCTGATGGCTTTAGTGTGGTGATGTCAAAATTCGATACTATGAATACAAGGTCAGTGCGGCTATCCACAGACAAGTATATCAAAAATTATTCGCGCCGAACGCGATGCCCCGCCAAATAATCTAGCACGTGACATATTAGTTTTCCTATATTCACGGCCCATTGATCAGTTAAATAAAAAGTGAAGGTCCATAACCTTGGCAAGGGAGGGCAAGACTGAACACCTGTACGCGGTGTCCTCTACGAACCTGGGAGTGAAATATTCTCCCAGAGCCATGTTCAGTCAAATTTCGCAATATCAAACAAGTCGCCCACCGGGCAATGATTCAAGATACTCCACCATGTCAATATCTCACCCCCAACGAGTCCGAATCCTATCCCAGCCTCATCAAGTCTACAAGTACGAACTAGTACATCCTTATTCCAATGACCACACCTCTTGTCGACCTTCTCTGGCCTCAGCTGGTCGCCAGATACACGCCCACGCCGATATTTATACCCGGCGGAGGAAACAAAGCGTGGCGCACAAATCTGGGAGACAGCTCTTTGGGATGGACGTGAGAGGGATTAGGACAAGTTTATAAGATGATGCAAAGGAAGGATATAACCTCGAAGGGCGTGAGATTCTTAATTTTGGCAAGGAGTTTTACGAATTGAGCTTTGTGCGCGTCAAGACTTCGCTTGTGAGAATGCAGCTGACACTATAAAAACAAGCAAACGATGGAAGGTGTTGTGGTCCGCCTCCTGGTGGTGTTCTCTGGTATAGTTTGAGTAGCCTGGGCACCTACTCCACTTGGAAAGGAGATACCTCAGATCACATTTCGCGCGGAGAAAAGTTGAAAGATGATGGAGGCATGTCTGGATAACTCAGGGTTTTTGAGACGTTCCCCTGGGTGGGTATTTACGGATGAGGGTTGACTTGGGGTGAAGAAAAAGCCACCATAACTTCGCAGTGGTACCTGCAAATGAAATCCGAGGCATAAATACTCTTCCCTTAAGTTGAATCATCTATTCTGTACTTTTCTTTGATATTGTGTCATAGCTTAATAGCTGCATACGCAATTAAAATCTGATGCAAAAAAAAAACCTTGGCAAGGGAAGCTTATTGCAGGAGGGCAAGGCTGAACACCTGTACGCGCTATCTTCTACGAGCCTGGGAGTGAAATATTCTCCCAGAGCCAAGTTGTTTGGATTAGGTTGTAATTGGCAATTCCTAACCTAATTGTGTTAGATTGCAGGCTTCTGTTTTAGGTATTCGTGGGTTCGTAATTAAGGTTATTATTAAGGTTTAGTTTCGGTTATCTCACGGATTACCGAGCGGGCGGTATATCAAGGAGGCATGTAGCTAAGGTGGAAGTATTGCACAGTTAACTATACCTAATGCTGCAACGTATTGTAGTAGCTAAAAGAATACTGCTATTTGGAAACTAAAGCTCCATCCCAGAACCATGAGATAAATCAGGCTATGCACGCTGGATATAGAATGGCTAGCAGATTTGGTGAATATGGGGGTAAAATACGTAGATATATAAAGACATTGTAGCCTCTAAATTGTAGGACAAGTCTTCAACCAAATTATATCGGAATCAATCCTAGCCTCTCATAAAGCAATCTCATGAATCTATTTCCGTGTCTGTGATAACAGACCAATATACAAAGTCGATGATCAAGTTCAAAGTCGATTACAAGTTCAATCCAATTTCGCAATTCCGAACAAGTTGGCCAACGAGGCAATGATTCAAAATAATCATCCATGTCAAATTTTAACTCAAAGCTAGTTCGACTCCTAACAAAGTCTCATCTAATCTACAAGTACGAACTAGTACATCCTTATTCCAATGACCACACCTCTTGTCGACCTTCTCTGGCCTCAGCTGGTCGCCAGATACACGCCCACGCCGATATTTATACCCGGCGGAGGAAACAAAGCGTGGCGCACAAATCTGGGAGACAGCTCTTTGGGATGGACGTGAGAGGGATCGGGAAAAGCTCACAAGATGATGCAAAGGAAGGATAAAACCTCAAAGAGAATGAAATTCTGAATTTAATCAAGGAGATATACGAATTGAGCTTTGTACGCGCTAAGAATTCGCTTGCGAGAGTGCAGGCGACACTATAAACACCGCCATGGCTGGATGTTGCGGTGGTACATCGTCTGGCAAGTAAAGTCTGGATGGCATGGACACACATCCCACTCGAGACAGGAGATTGCTGGTTCAAAACCGGCAAAACACAACCACTTTCCTCGCGGCGCTGATATACATTGATGACGAAAGCATGCTTGGATAATCAAAAGTTTTGAATTTCCCTTTGGTGGGTACTTACGTAGGCGGGTCGACCATTTGTGTAAGCAAGCATACCTCATAGTGGTATTTGCGAATGAAATGCAGAGTATGAGTGTCTCTAACGTCCAAAGAGTCATCCAACATGAATACATAGCACCGATCATGTGTCGTAGCTCTACAGCTGAATACAAATTAAATGATTCAAAAAAATGACCGGACCACCTCAGACTTCACCTATATGTTGAATCATACCAAGCCCTACCGTCCAGAAACCCGCTGTGTACACGCCGTAGCGCAATTTCCTCCTCAGCCTCAGTAACCACGCGCCCGAGCCCTTGACATCCTCATTGACTTCGAAATATAAATGTAGTCCCAGATCTCGCCGTTGCTCAAGCCTTGTACCTTCATATCGTACCGTTGGGTTGTTTTCGTCATTGGGGATTTGTGAAATCCCCTCGGTGTATCTTCCCTTTTCTTCCTCCTTTGTTCACGTCCCGTTTCCATCATGACTTTCCTCATTAGAGCGTGTGTAGGTAGATGATCGGACGAGTATGGAGGTGGGCCGCAGGTGTAAGATCTAGTGAGAAATTCTTCGTCGCAAATTTTTGGAGAGTTTGAGAGATGCTTTTTGTCTGGATACGACCCCCACACAGACCCAAGCCCATTCATGGATCGTATGTTGGTGGTGATGAGTTTTTGTTAGACTTTCTTGCAGAAGTCAAATCTCTGCCGGCTGATTATTCGACCGAAATATCGAGTACAACTCCTCTAAGCCGAAAATCCATCAATTAAAATCCATCCCACCCTTTTTCGTGACTGAATCTCGGTTCTAGGAGAATATTTCACTCCCAGATTCGTAGAGGACACCACTGACAGGCGTTCAAGCTTCATCCTCCGAAAGTTGAGGGATTAATGAGGTACGTGCCAATGTCTCAACTTGACAACATTATCCAAATGACGTTTTAGCCTTTCGTTTTAGTGAACCCCCGCGACTAAGGCAAGCAATAGAAGTGACAATATTAAATATGGAATCTGGTTATAAGTGAATTAAGAGTTACACATAGTAGTGCACAGCCTGAGATCCGGTATCGATACTGATGCAGAACTGTATTATTATAACAGGAAACTCTCAAACCCTGGATTTCATTTGCAAATACCACAATTAGGGGGAGACTATTCTCAACACCTGTCAGTGGTGTCCCCTACGAACCTCCAGCTCTCACTGTAGAGTCTGCAAAGCCGAGATTGAGTAACAAAGTCCTCACTTCGACGAGGATTCCCAATCGCTTTCGCTTTCGCGGTCTGTATCGTCTTCATCTCTCAACACGCTCCCTTATCACCATTATCATGAAGCTAACCACGATCAGATCAGATGGTAGGGTCGGAGCCCTACTCATCACCAACCCTTGATCATGGAGGAGAAGCTGTCCAATGAGTTTCCGGACCGTACCCAGCACCCGATACGGAGATGGTGGATTGGATCAAGATGGCCTCGACTGTCGCAAAGAAAGGAGATATAGATGATTATGCGCAGCTCATGTGGTCCCGGTGTCTAGGCCTCGCCTGGCTGGGGCTGCAGGTTTTTTGAGACTTTTTCCCGCGCACGCAGTTTTAATTGCTACCATTTTTTTTTGGGTAGAAGGTGGCTGAATTTAATGGGTAAATACTGAGCTGAATGGCTATTCATGTCACGGAATGTGGTCGTGATCTAATCGATCGAACGAAATGTACGAAGTTTAGTCTGATTTGCTAAAGTAATGATAACGCATGAATAACTAGAATGCGGAATAAGAGCATATGGAAAGGAAATATATTTTTACAGGGGTATGACTAAGTGGTCCCAAAGGCCATCATTTTTTTTTTTTTTTTTTTTTTTGCATCAGATTTTAATTGCGTATGCAGCTATCTAGCTATGACACAATATCAAAGAAAAGTACAGAATAGATGATTCATCGTTAAGGAAGAGCACTCATGCCTCAGATTTCATTTGCAAGTACCACTGCGAAGTTATGGTGGCTTTTTCTTCACCCCAAGTCAACCCTCATCCGTGAATACCCACCCAGGGGAACGTCTCAAAAACCCTGAGTTATCCAGACATGCCTCCATCATCTTTCAACTTTTCTCCGCGCGATATGTGATCTGAGGTGTCTCCTTCCCAAGTGGAGTAGGTGCCCAGGCTACTCAAACTATACCGGAGAACACCACCAGGAGGCGGATCACTACACCTTCCATCGTTTGCTTGTGTTTATAGTGTCAGCTGCACTCTCGCAAGCGAAGTCTTGGCGCGCACAAAGCCCAATTCGAAAAACTCCTTGCCAAAATTCAGAATCTCATGCCCTTCGAGGTTATATCCGTCCTTCGCATCATCTTGTCAACTTGTCCAGATCCCTCTCACATCCATCCCAAAGAACTGTCTCCCAGATTTGTGCGCCACGCCTTGCATCCTCCGGCGGGTATAAATATCGGCGTGGGCGTGTATTTGGTGACCAGCTGAGGCCAGAGAAGGTCGAAGAGTGGTGTGGTCATTGGAATGAGGATGTACTTGGTCGTACTTGTAGACTCGATGAGACGAAGATAGGAGTCAAACTCGTTGGGAGCGAAATAACGACGTGGATGAGTAATTTGGATTTTTGCCTCGTGGACCAACTTCTTTGATATTG